TTTTTTTTTTTTTTTTTTTTTTTTTTTTTTTGCAGGTATTCTAGTAGAGCAGAGTTTCCAGATGAGTATTTGAACGACTACTGTGCGGATGTAGCAATCATAATTCCCCGTAAATTAATAAGAAAAATGCTTGATACCACTGCAAACGCAACTTTCTTCAAAGTAAAAATATTCATCATCTAATATCCTTTCACTGGAACTGCTCTGAAATCGTTTTTACAATTTACAGTTTAACCTCAACCTCAATTTACAATCTTCAGTTTGGTGACTACTTTTTAACTGGAATTTTGGCGGCAAAAGCTGGAGCGAAATTTGAAGATCTTAACAATAGAGCATTCAATCACATAATGAGAAAAAATCGGTTACTCTTTGTGCAGCGAAGAATCCATGTTCAAGCCACTGAAACTGTCGAGCAAGCAGAAGAGATGTGGAACCAACTAAAATACAAATACTATTCATGGCAAGAAGGGCACTAATAGAGCGTAGAAACGACACATTTCTTAAACAAGGGTAAACTTACAAATCGTACAAAAACTCTACATCGAATTTTGATGGAAAAATAACGATAATGAAATAGGTGCAACTGCTCAAAAAATGTAGAAGTCATTTTTATGCATAATTTTTTAGGTTTCTATAAGGAGAGAGATAGGAGAACCGATGTTTATCTCCTCTCAATGTTGAAACCTCGGTGTTTTTTCACGGCGAATCAATCGAATTTAGCAGCATTTGAAAACAGATTAAAATGTAACGTGTATTTCTTTCTAACTATTCCTGTAGTATTACTAGTGTATATAGATTTCTTCCGTTCGTGTCGTCGAGATATCTTTGCTAATTTCATGAAACTTTAAGTCTATATACTGATACCGCGATTAGACGTCTACTTGCTTAGGAAAACAACAGTTCAAGCGATAAGAAAAAAGTTAGTAGTTTTTTCGTCTAAAACTACTTTTTGCTAAGGAAAAGTTTCTTGAGTATCTGTTGAAAATTTTTTGAAAATGAAAACGATAGAGCTTTCTGACGTGTCTGAATAACTACTGTATTTGATACAAGAGGATCACTTCATAATTAAAAATAATCTTTCAAAGCAATAGAAATATTGAATTAAAAACTGCACAACATTTCTATAGACGCATAATATAAAAAGTTTTTGAGTTTTTTTGTAAAACGTTTTTTGAGTTTTTTTTTGAAAAAAAGTAAATTTTATACTCTTTTGTGCTTTAGTAATCGTCTTTTGAACCAGCTTTTAAAGGCTGTAGCTTTAACGTTTTCTTCAATAATTAATTAACTCTAGTTTTCTTGAAAACTTGAGTTTTGCTCCATACAAAGTTTTAATCCTCGTCAAGATTCTCTTTGCAGACTGCGCCGTTTTGAAGGTTTTTTCGTACACTAGAGGAGTCACTTGCTCTCTTTGGTTAAAGAACGTTGAACTTCCTTTGTCAAAGGAGAATTTGCTAGTACTACGTTCATGTAGAGTGTTGTTTGGAGTAGTCTCTAGTCTCTTTTTGGTAGAGACGGTTTAAAAAATAAGCCAAATATTTATTATCTTTGAAACTTATGAATTTTTGCACACAGTTTATAAGCGCCTTCTCTCCTGTACCTGTGGACTGCTGTGCACACATTGTTGGCGCATCTGACGAATTGTACCGTATAAATATTATTCTCTAAAACAGTTTATGAAACTAGTATGATTCGGCTAGCTAGAAAAAACTCGGAGACTTATTGCTGAGCTTAACTTAATTTGCTTCTGTGGTAACTAAAAAAGAACTATTTTTCGGTGTAGTGCATATGCTTTGAGCAAACAAGATCTCGGATGAATTCACCCTTCAAAGCCTTCAGATATTTTCTGTAAACGGGTGATGAACAATATTTAATAATTTTGTGCGAAGGAGAGTGGGGCTTGTGTATTATGAAAACGTCTGGAAGCACTGTGAAATTAAACCCAAGTGCATCTAAAATCATCATATGCGAAACCTTATTCAACCCAAATCCAACAAAACGCTGATCATATGGTGGTGTTTCAAGACGACTTATCAGTATATAAGGCTTGTAATATGTTTGCCATAAAACAGAGTACGGATAAACAGCAGACCGCCACTTGCTGTAATAGGTTGCCATATGCTCATGTAGCCACATGTCTTGACAAAAAGTCTGCCTTTGACTAGAATCCAACGTTTTCAGCAGCTTTAGTTTAGTGCTTAGAATGGGTGAATTGTCATAAGATTTGGATTCAAAAGCTGGAATTACATAGTTTGTCTTCAAAATTTGCTTTTGTTTAAGCATTGTGTCTTTAAGTTTTTTGTAAAGACCAAGCATTGGCAGGAAGTCTACATCCATCAAAAAACAAACAAACAAACAAACAAACAAAAAAACAAACGGTGCATCCGATGCACAATATTTGTAAAAGGACCTGCATGAACAAAGACTGGCGTCCTTTCAAAACTCTGTTTGAGATTTGGGCAGATAGCATCTTTCATTAGAACAGTCTGTGCTCCGGTTACTCCAATGTCGTCGGCTGTTATTGGCTTACCTTCATAATCGCTCGCTACAACAATTCTTCTGATACGTTCGTGCATGTTAGACAGACTTGTTGTAAGAGCCAGTATTGCCATCAGCTCACTAGCAGCAATCAGGTCAAATCCAATTTCTCTAACTTCACCTTTTTTGGTTTCGGCACGCCCAACCTCAATTTTATGCAAGAAGCGATCATTAGTGTCGAGAACACGATGCCAAGTAATAGTCTTAGGGTTAACGTTCAGGCGCGCGAAACGTCGTCGGTCCTCTTCACTCAACGTTTCTACTGTTTCAGGTTCTGGAATACCCAACCTAGCCGACCTACGGCGTTAAATTCCGTTAAGAACGAAAGTTCTTCTTTTGCGGGAGGGAGTAAACGACTAAAAAGCGCATCGTCTTTCTGAGTTGCTTCGTGGAAAATTCGGGTATCAATAGCTGCAGCTAAAAGATTGTTAGCTGCAGTGACAGCATAAATATCTTGAAAAAGAATTTTTTGACCCAGTAACTCTGCAAATATGCAGCCAACTGACTACACATCAACTGCTGTTGTATACCTGCGCGCACCCATTAGCATCTCTGGGTCCTGATAGTACTGCGTCACTACTTCATGAGTCATGTTCTGCTGGTCATGTGGGTCCCACATTCTGGCTAAACCAAAATCGCATATCTTTAGTATACAATTGCTATTGACTAACAAGTTCCCAGGCTTGATGTCACGATGAAGGATATTTGCAAAATGCAAATATTTCTCTAAAACAGTTTATGAAACTAGTATGATTCGGCAAACTAGAAAGAAACTTGGAGACTTATTGCTGAGCTTAACTGAATTTACTTCTTTAACTTTACTGTCTAAAAGAAAAAGTTAATAATCGTTATTATCGATTGGATTGCCGTGATTTCTCATAGTAAATTAAGTCGGTGATTTAGTAAAAACTCACTGACATTTTTGTTTGTTTGCCTGGCGATGCAACTGCTAATGATTTTAAGTTGTTTCAATCTTTCAATGTCAAAAACAGTTTTGCAAAAAAAAAAAAGATGGAACAATAGGGAATAAAATGTGCATTACAAAGTCTGTTTTAGAAAGCATAGTTTGATGACTAATTAAGACGCTGAAAACTTTTCAATTACTCCAAATGAAGGTCATCATGTTTCACCATTTATCAAGTTATTTTTCACTTTACTTTACTTCTTCTTCAACAGCAAAAAAAGTGATAACTATTTTTATTTCTTTTTTCGTTCTTTCTTTTCTTTTTTACTCTGCCTTACTTTCGTTATCAATACAGCTATATTAATAAGCACCAAAACTTCTTGTTGTTTTGGAACAAACTACTGAGAAATTATCTGAACAACAACCACAGCGACACAGATGAAAAATGACGAAAAGAACACGAACCATAATGAAGAAAGTAAGGCGTGAAAAATGGATACAAATTTAAGATTGTCTGTGAAAAGACTGTGAGTTGACAAACCTTGATAAACAACTCAACAACCGTACAAGCTGTATTAAGTAACAACGTTTCTTGAAAAGTTTTCTGAGTTATTGAAGCACTGATATATACCAAAAAAAGTACTATAGAAACTTTTCAGTTTTGAGTTTCGGTAATTTTTTATAATAAATTTGTAAAAATTCATCGATATTTTTGTTGGTTTGTCTGGCGGTGCAGCTGCCACTGATTTTGAAGTGTTTCAACCTTTTGATTTCAAAGACAGTTTCGCAAAAAAAAAAATGAAACACTAAGGAATAAAATATGCATTACAAAACTTGTTTTAGAAGATAGGATCTGGCGGCTGATCTAAACAATAGAAACGTTTCGCCTGTTTGCTAAAGTATGCAAACATGTTAATGTGATCTGGAAAATTTGAAGAATTTTTTATGTTATTAAAATTCTACGATTCTGTTTGAATAAGAAATCAGGATTATAAGAACAGAGAAATGCTAACAAGTAAACCTTTTCAAAAAAGCAGACAAATTTCTAAAGTTAAGAAATTGCTTGTTTGTTCTCGCTAAACAGTCTCACATAATCTGGTTAAAGTAATTGCAAGACAGCTAAGTTAAAAATTCCAATTTTAAATTTTTCAAAATTTTTTAATGCTACAATAAATATTATTTTTTTTAAAAATTTTTGGGGACTTATTGACTAAATTTGCGTAATGTAAAAAAATTTGAGCTAAGGGCAGCTTCAAGGGTCTGAGACTTTGTGCTGTGATAAAAGTACCAAATAAGATAAATTTTGAACAATTTTCTATTCGTTTAAACACGGCAAATTCGAGCTTTTTTCGCTATTAATATAAAGAAATGTATTATAATCTGTATTATTTCTTACAAACTTAGTCAACGTTTTGTTGTTTGTCAAAAAGAGTTGTCAATTGCCAACAGTTGTCAATTGATCGAGCATTCATAAATTTAGAGCGTAGCAAAGACTTGACAAGAAAAACTTCCTCAAAAATATGCTACCTGTACTGCAAATTTCTAATCTTTCATTGGCTATAATTGGCTATAATCTTTGTTTCACTTATAATCTCTAATCACTTATAATCACTACTAAAGCACTACACTGAAAATGCCGTAAAATATGGTCTATTTTTGGTAGTAAAATTTATCGTCAAAATCTTACACACTATTTTTGGTAATCTGTTTTTTTTTTTTCAAGTAAGTTTCATTTATTTTTCAGCTTTGCGTTTTCATGCAATAATCAAACTTTATCTAGTGGTTTACCAAATAAATTTCAAAAATGCAATTAGGTGTTTTTGAAACAAAACTTCTGCTTATTAAGATTAGAAGTTTGTGACAGAAATTCTTTGGCAGCTTTTCAAATTTAGTAAAGTCTTGACGTCAAAAAGACATCATGCTATTGAATTTTGAGTGCATTAGGCACTAATAGCAAATAAAAAAGCATAGCTAGAAAGTAATACTCAAAATTTAGAATAATTAAAATCCATGATTAAGTCATTTTAAATTTTAAACCGTTATAGTTCAGTCATATCACTGTTCGACCAGTTTCATATCACTACAGCCCTTATATACTGTAAAGATTCAAAAATTTATTTACATGCTTTATACTAATCAGCAACCCTGAATTGAAATTTCAAAAAGAACTACAAAAATGTATCTTATAAGGAGTATTTTTTTTGGTAGCTTCTACAAGAAGTTGACAAAGCACTGCAAACTGCTTTGTAATTTCCCAAG